ATGGCCCTGGGGTCAGGGGTTCTAGTGCTAGGGTGGGGCTAAATAAGAAGTAAGTGAAAATGCATTATTTCTTTGAAAATCTTCTTCTCTGCTCCTGGGTATTAAATAAACCAACTAAGTACATAGTTATGATGAGCAAGAGTGCTTCTACCAAAATTGTGAATTTCATGGCCCCAGGGTCAGGGGTTCTGGTGTAAGGGCGGGGCTCTATTGATTATATAGTGAAAATAAATGAATTCTTTGAAAATCTTCTTCTCTGCTCCTGGGTATTAAATAAACTAATTAAGTACATAGTCATGATAAGCAAGAGTGCCTCTACCAAAATTGTGAATTTTATGGCCCCAGGGTCAGGGGTTCTTGTTTTAGGGTGGGGCTCTAATGATTATATAGTGAAATGCATGAATTCTTTGAACATCTTATCCTTTGCTCCTGGTTAATATGCTAATGATCTAATTACATATTTAAGGCCAGGATTTATTTTATTTTCAGTTTTACAAACCCTCCGCTCAAGGTTTTGAATTTTCAGAAAAAAATAATTTTTTTTCTTTCTGATGTCAAATTTGAGTCGGGATCGAGATTTCAAATTTACGAACTCGCATTTCTGGCTTTACGATGAAGCGGTGAGTAAATAAAGCTAGCTTGGTTTAGTGTAAAATTCATCGATAAGAGTGCTATTCAAAACGTTTCACCCGTTCAAAGGACAAATAAAATGCTGACGACTTTGTTGCACAATTACATGCTGGTAAGATAATTATGTATTCGTTTCAAAAGTAACTGTAAATTATTTTCCTCCCCTAGGTTTTAAACTGCCCGTGGTAGCTATTGCAAATTGCCAGGGACATTGTTTAGGTCTCTGTTATAGCTTACAGTCTAAGCACCATTCTTCAGAAAAGGGTTGCTTATGCATCAGATTTAATGAATAAAACTATGGGAGAAGTGAAGTCCATTTGAGGAAGAAATAAACAATAACCTGAAGAAATAAAAAAAAATTCAACTATTAAAAGGCAGGAATATACAAATATATACAGGCATGTAGTATCATTTGTATCAGCCAGAACAAAATTATTTTACACTTAATTGAAAAATGTTGACCCTACTCCCCAATACTCCCTGTCTGTTTTATGATAGGAATTATAATTTTAGGCATCAAGTAAATTTTAGAACAATGTCTACACATTCACCTAACACATATTAAAAAAATGAAGATATATTGAAAGACTTTTAAAGAATTGATTTTTGAAAATATATTTTGATCAACATCACAAAATTTATATAACTGGCCCAAACTGTAGGATGATGAAATAAGCAATTAAATGTTCTACTTTCCTATTTGTAAGCATTATGTTTCCAGTGGTAAGGAGCCTATTAGGATAGCATAAAAAAAGAATGTACAAATCTTAATAATTGATTTATCAAAAAAAATTTTATTTCCTTCTCCTTCGGGACTTTTTTAATCTCATGTTCATAACTAAACCTAAACATAAAAAAAATGCTGGCCTTATAATGAAAAAAGGGGCCTCTTTCAAAATAGATAATTTCAGGGCTGCTGGGTCAGGGGTACCAGGGGGGTACTTTGACTAATAAAATAAATTAATGCTTTGAAATCTGCCCTTTGATAAGCAATGGTGCCTCTTTCAAAATTTGTGAATTTCATGGCTTTTGGCTTAAAACACGAACCAAATACAATCGCTGGAAAGTTGTAACATGATACTCAGGTGACCTATAAGGCCCGTGGGCCTCTTGTTGCTTTTACCTGACTAGTTGCTCAGGTGATCTTGACCCACGGGTCCCTTGTTTTAAAAATTGTGTCAAACACTAAGGTCAAGGTCAAAAGGTAAAAATATATACATGAATTGCAAAGTCTTGTGACAATGAATACACCTGTGAAATATGAAAGCCATAGTCCCACACAGTCAAAAATTATGTGCGGACAAGCAGACCGAACGCTAGACGTACGATGGACAAACGGAAAAAGAAATATACCGGCGACTCTATGCGATAACAGAAATTACGAAATAACACGAAATGATTGAGGTGCATTTTTTTCTGTAAGTTACAATGAAGCACATTGAAATTATAAAATGATTCACTTGAATAGAAGTTTGAGTGTTTTTCATCAAACGTCAATTGAGACTAAATAGCGAGCCATTTTGTTAGAAACAAGACGAAAGAACTTTCTTCGGTAATAACCAATATTTGCCCCCCAAATCAAACTTTGATGGAGGTATATTTAATTAAGTTCTTAAACAGGGGAGTATATGCTGACTTCAAAGCACTAAATATTTTTATAAGTAATGACGCCATATATACGTATTGACGTCACAAACATGGCGTAAATTTTTGTTTTTTATGAATTTTACAGAAAAATGTACATATTTTGTCGATATTTTGAATAGAAGTCACCGATGGCATGTGTGTTCAGGATCAATATTTTGATATAATGTGTAGAATGATAATATCAATGAGATATGTCAATATTGTTCCTGAACAAACTTGCGCTCTATAAATTTTAAGGCTAAGATAGTTGAAATTTTGTCCATTTTTTCCTCTTTCTGAAAAAGGATATAAAATCGGACTAGTTTGTGACGTCATAAAAAACAAAAATTGTGAATACACTGCTTTGACACCATAACATTTTCTGTTAATTTATATTTCTCATACAATTTATTGAATTCAGCACATTTCAGAGAGTTTTCAAAATTTGACTTTTGTGGGGGCAAATATATTCAATATACCGCATATAGTTCTTTTTGTTGTTTTGCATAAGGACAATCCTTCTCTCTACTCAGTGCAAATAGAAAAATTAGTTAATTTAACTGTAATAGAAATTGAAAAAAAAAAACATGCTTGACAATAAGTCATTCCACCGTTGTTTTCTTTTCTAAAAAACTAGACGTATCATTTTATGATAACCATAGTTCTATCATAGATCTAAAGAAAGCCTGAAACGTTTCATCCAGATAGACAATGTTATCAATTATGTTTATTGTGATCTTAACTTTATCACAAATGTAAAGATAAAGTAACAGGACCGTATCCACCTCTATATGTGCTGGGATCGATGGATCGGGGGTGCGTATTGTTTTCGTCCTCTCTGTCTGTTTGTCTGTTAAAAAAAGTAAACATTCGCTATAATTTTTGAATCATTAGAGAAAGAGGCTTTATATATGGTTTGCATAACCCACTCATTACCTTCTTTTAGATGACACCAATTTCAAAGACCTTGTGACCTTGACTAGGAATTTCATGCTAAATATAGCTTTTTTGATTCTTTTAGCCACTGGGCACATAGTGTTTAATAGCTGCATAACTGTAACTTTTTGATAAAAATATAATGACAGACCGAAAAGCTACAGACCCGACCAGTGGAAAAAAAATGTATTACGCCTAAAAATATGCGCTGTTGCTCGATTTAGTTCTCCATGTTTTAAAATTGTCATCTCAAAATATCACTAAACGTGTGTCCCTTACATATTTTTTCACTGTTTCCACAACCTTTAAAATGCTGTCAATACCCCCACTAGTCCTGTTATCTAGATCATCGAAAAGTTCGTCCCTTTTTCAGCCATTTTGTTTGCATGATAAATATGCCCAACGCGCTTCCTGCAGATGTCAACTACGAGAGCACTTGATAGAGAAAAACGAATTGTTTGAAATCTATTTTTTTTTATTGAGATAAGAAACTGATAGAATTATTTCAGAACTAGGCACAATAAATATACAGTTTTTTCAATGGGTGACACTGAAGCACTCATTTCTGTCATTTTTTTTCGGAGAGCTACAATTCTTTTACAAACACATTTTGTCTTTCATTAAAATCATTGAAATCTTTTAGAAATGTCAGATATGTTTAAAAGAAAACAAAGAATATTGCAATGTTCTCTGTTCACTGTGCAGTTTTATTTACAAAACCGGTTCAACCATATAACACATAAATGGAACACTATAGGTCACGTGTCTTGGATTTAAATTACAGTCACTGTGTTGATCACAGAATGAGATATCAATTTTTTTTCTATAGGGATAATGGTTTAAATACAAACAAGATGTGTTTGTGAAACACTATGCGCCCGGCGTCTACAAAGTTCGAAAAAGCTATTTTTATTATATAAGTCACAGTCAAGATCACAAGGTCAATGACCTTGGTGTTGTTTGAAAGAACTTTTTCAGTGGAGTATGCATACCAAACATGAAGTCCATATCTCCTATGGTGCAAAAGTTATGGCAAAAAGTGGAAAAAGCTATTTTAAGCATATACGTCACAGTCAAGGTAACAGGGTCATTGAACTTCATGTCATTTGAAAGAACTTAATTAGCGGAGTATGCATAACAAATATGAATTCCCTATCTTTTATGGTTCAAAAATTATGATAAACAGTTGAAAAAGCTATTTTTAGCATATAGGTCACAGTCAAGGTCACAAGGTCATTGACCTTGATGTAATTTGAAAGAACTTTATTAGGGGATTATGCATACCAAATATGAAGTCTCTATCTCTTATGCTTCAAAAGTTTTGGTGAAGGTTAAGGTTGACAACAGACAGACAAACAGATAAACAGACAAACAGACAGGACAAAACAATATACGCCCCGCATCTATCGATCCGGGCGCATAAAAAGATAATTCATCATTTGTAGAGAGGATATTTAGAAGTCTATAACAAAGAAAGAACATTTTTACATCAATAAATGTTGCCTAAAAAAGTGCGCAAAAAACCCCACCCCAAAATATATCAAAAGCAGGAAAGTAATAAAAGACTAGATACAAATACGGTGTACCAAGTATCTTTTTCCAAGTTCACTTTTTTGTAAAATATTGTTTGACTCATTTTGTGCATTGACTTTTGGTAAGGATAAGATATGAAAGTTAACAAGGAAATTTAGTCATTTTAATTTGACGATTTCTTTTTTGTAAACATTGAATATTATTTTCGGTGTTCGTTACAATTTTAATTATTTATAATAAGTATTTTAAGGTAGAGTACAATTATTATATTGTAGACTATTTTGTTTTCTGGATAAAGTCTATCCATACTTACTGTGGTTCTGACAATGACAAAGATCCAAAGCCAACTATCCTTATTGTGGCGACTCACTGGGAAAAAGAAAACAGACAGTACCAGGTAAAACCTTCAGGAACTTATTTATCTAAGGTCAGTTACATTGTAATGGTATGTTCTACAAAAAAAAAAAACAACATTAAAATGATATTCCCCAATACAAAGTCTCAAGTGAATACCAAACCAGATAATTAAAAAAAAAATGTTTACTTTTAGTGAAAAATTATACCCTATAATTATATGACGCGAAGTTTTCATTTAATCAAGATATTTTGAATACAACTGCCTTTTATTCGTTTTACTTCTTATATTGTTTACCTTTCATTAGACCTAAATTTTTTTTCTCGTCAAATAAAGTAAAGAGAAGACTGAATCAAAATAAAGACAGTAAAACATGAAATTGTCATTTTACAGGATAAAGATGCTCTGTTGCACAGCTTGCAACAAAAACTTCCGAAAGAGTCCAATTTCTCACAGTATTTAGTGGAGAAAAACTGTTACTGTACCTTTTTCCCTGTCCAAACACTTCATGAAATACAGCAATGTATTTGTGGCATAGCATCTCATCAGCGATGGAAAGAAAACATTCCTAAGGAATGGGCCTTCTTTGAAATAGAAATAAATCAGAAGAAAGAATCAAAGAGGATTTTAGACATTGAGAAGTTAACAACAAAGCTTACTGGCAACATTGACAAACAACAGGAGGGAATGAAATCAGAGAAGGATATGTTACGATATTACCATGACGCAGGGAAGGTTCTGTATTTCAATGAGAAGGGACTTCAGCGATATGTCGTTATTGATGTTCAGTGGTTTATTGACGCTTTCAAACACATCATCACGGACAAACTTCATTTTCAAGGCATTTCTGCTGTACAGGGTGATTGGGACGAGTACTACAGGACAGGACATTTAAGGGACCCACTTCTGACGGAGATCTGGAAACATGAAGATAATAAGTTGAAAGAAAAGATGATGGAATCAGGTACTAGAGAAGCCGATTCCCTCTATGAAATTAGGGATTTTGGCTCCAAATATTCCGATTCCGACTTTCATCATAATCCTCTATACCTACTCCATCACAAAAAAGTGCTACTAGATTACTTGCAAAGACTTGGTTTGATGGCAGTTGGAGAGGAATCTCATTATGTTCCGTGCATGAATCGAAAAGAAATTGAATCTGCTGTTATTGATTTAATTAAAAGGTCGGAGAAGAGATCATCTATACTTATCTACAGATTTGGCTTCTTACCATTCTTTCTCTTTTTCCGCCTCGTTGTATCTTGCATGCAAATAACAGGTTGGGAAGTACTAATTACTGATGAAACATCATGCCTGTACAGAAACGCAGCTTTATTTTCTGTACATGAATACAATGTTGTCCTATCAGTAACAGAAACGTCTATACAGTTACAAATATTTCACCCTGTGCCAGGATGCTCGTTGGAAAAAGATGAAACTTACAAAATTCAGAATACTATAGAGGTTATTTTAAATGACATTTCGGGAACCTTTCACAGACGTCTGATGTACGAAAGAGGCTTTAGATGTCAAGAAGACAGTGCTAGGAATATTGCAGTGGATATCAATGGAAGATTTGTGCGGGACAGATACATTTACGAAAAAGATGGTGAAATAATATGTCCGTTGCATCCAATTATAAATCAACATTTTATAAACGCCACTGAGCTGTCAAAATTTTGGAACTTAAAAAAAACATACATCTGAAGAAAATATATAACAAAGCGTGACAATCCACCGTTTAGGTGGATAGAAATAGATTCTACTTATTCTGACTAGACGTTGAGGTTGCGGTCTGCTAAGAACAATTATCTTTTGAAAAAAAGTGTTATCAGTTGAAGAGATATTGATGAGTTGACATAAATTTCATGAATGGTTTGTGTCCAAGTAGACGCTTGCCATTTCAACTCGCTTCTTTTATTTTCATGTAATAGAAGTACAAGGGTTATAAAATGTTTTTTTTTTCAATTAAGTTCTATCACTTTTGCATGTCCATCATTGTTTATTCATTTGCTATTAATATAATGTTTTCGATAATGTTATTTTCTTAAAATATAGATTGCTAAAAGATACCTACGGTAATCACCAATAGACGAATTATAAGTAATGAAACATAGATATGCAAAATGTTAAGATACTTATCAAAGACAAAACTTGCTTACTAGGGTGCAATATCAAATTCAACTTAAGAAGAAAACTGACACATATTTCAAGCTTTTATAATGGTTTATTGGCGTTAATGGTCACTCATAATTATTGCAAGTACAAAAAAGTCACAGTTCCAGGGTGAACCATGGGAACAGATGAACACCCGGATATTAAATTAATGATCATGTTCTTAAATGCTTTTGAATAAATTTAATTGAAAAGTCTAGGTGAGCACTACTGGTAAGCTGAATATCCGCCCACTCTAGGGATCAGCAGCCGCGACGCAGGGGTTGGCTCTCATGGTAGGGTTTTACCTGAAAAATACACAAAAACGAAGCAGCAAAAGACACTTAAAAAATAAAAACAGCCTATAGTTCAAGTACACTAAATTTGAAGCTAACACCATTTTATGGGAGGGTTGGTTGGGTGAACTTCCACGTGCTAAAAGCTACACTGTACAAGTCAAGATATGCAGGGAGACTGCAGGGTGGCCGTGACGTCACATTTCACGCTTATCCCTAATGCAGAGCTACAGGTGGCTAAAAACCAGCAAACCCCAAAAATGACATTCACGCAATTTAGCTTTGATAAATCGATTTAACTTAAATGAGTTAAATCCTATTATCAAAGACAAAACTTGCTTACTAGGGTGCAATATCAAATTCAACTTAAGAAGAAAACTGACACATATTTCAAGCTTTTATAATGGTTTATTGGCGGTAATGGCCACGGCTGCACTCATAATTATTGCAAGTACAAAAAAAACACAGTTCCAAGGTGAACCCTGGGAACAGATGAACATCCGGATATTAAATTAATGATCATGTTCTTTAATGCTTTTGAATAAATTTAATTGATAAGTCTAGGTAAGCACTACTGGTAAGCTGAATACCCACCACTAGACTATGCAGCAGCTGCATAGTCTGCGCCACCAGTAGAGCTAACTCCCCTTAAAATTACACACCAAACCTCTCACATGATGAAAATGTTAGCAAATATAGCCTTTGAACCACTGAACCAAAACGAATACCTATAGGGCTACTAAACAAAAACGAAACGCTGTGAACACGTCATCAATCAATGAACACTTTGCGGCAACACCTAAAAGGAGCCAGCAACAACGTTGCTTTATTAGGGCATCCCAACAAAGACAGTGTCACGTCATCAATCAGTGAACACCAAACCACGACTAAGCAAAAATTTGTGTCACATCATCAATCAGTGAACACAAACATACAAATTGCAAATGGGAGCCAAACATACTCCCCAAAACAAAAAAAATTGCATCACATCATCAATCAGTGAACACAAACATACAAATTGCAAATGGGAGCCAAACATACTCCCCAAAACAAAAATTTGCATCACATCATCAATCAGTGAATGTCAAAACACAAAATAAAAAATGGTAGCTAATCAATCTCCCCGAAGAAAATTTGCGTCACGTCATCAATCAGTGAACACAATCACACAAAATGCAACTGGGGACTAGCAATTCTCCCCAAAATAAAACCGTTTCACAACATCAATCAGTGAACACTAGACGCATATGAAAACCCGCAACAATTTTATTTAAAAACTGGCATCAAACAGACAAAGTGTCACATTATTGCCATACCATACCACAAATTGAAATGCAGACCAACAAAAATTTACTTTGTCTGTGAAAGCAACAATTTTGCTAATAATATAGCTTCCTAGCAAAACCAAACTGATAAAACAAGGGGGAGGCAGCATACATTAATAACATTTATAATATTCTAACTATCTAAAAAAGAAAAAAAAAATGCTACCCAATACATGCCTTAACTGTGCTAATCTAAACCATAATCATAATAAACAACATATCATAATAACAGTATTACTGATATACATATACTTCCTTTTACAAATTGTTGTGATATTAACCAGTTCCGTAGTATATTTCATAAAGATTTTGAACTCAGAAATATATAATGCAACCATGGTATATGATCGCCTACCTTTGGGGTTACTGATATTTCAGGATTGGTAAAGAAATATTGCAATGATTGCTGTATTCTATGAAGAAACAGGCTATTGCCAAAGAAGTTAAGGTGAACTTGGTCTTTAAAGAGATTTGGACATGCATATCTGAGCTCCGGGTATCTAATATACTTCCCCCCAAGTTTAAGGATGTGTGTTGCTACAAAACTATTTAGACGTACTCTAGCCCGCTCTAAAACTATATGGTTCACTTCCCCACGCCAGTGTAGCCAGGGTAGTACTTGCGACCAGATTAATGTAGTTTTGCGTAACAGCTTCTGTATTTTTATCAGACCTCTTTTAATACTATTGCGAAGCATTACGTACTTACCGTCTTGACCAATATCATTCCCCCCACAGTGTATTACAAGAAAGTGAGATGGGTCCTCAATTTTCAATAGAGTCCGGACTTTGGTGTAGACTTGGTTCCATTTCATACCCCCCTTCCCTTGCCAAAATACTGAAGCATTGTGTCTAATTAACTGGAGATTAGACCCAAATGAGGAGGAGCGGGCTTGCAAAAAGGCATGCTTAACTATTGAGGATCCTACAATCCAAATTCTCTTGTGATCTACAATGACATATATAATTCGTTATTAAGGACTAGAAAAATGATTATAATAAGTCTGCCCCGTTATAACATACTAACACCCTGATAACACAAGTAATCTTAGTTAACACCTTATATATTTATACAGACATCTAGATTTCCACCTGCCCCCTTTGCAATTTGATCCTCCCCTTTGCCTTGAACCCAAGCTTCTGTAGCTGTCCCTAATCGAAATGGGTGTGTCTAGGGTATCTAGCCCTAAATGGGCAATAAGCATTGAAAATACTGACATGACCTTATATCTTGTAACTGGGGTCCCATCGACATGGCAAAAGAAAGAGCCAAGTTGCAGTGATCTTACCCCTATAAATGTTTTAAGTGACTGAACTGGCATATAATCATAGATGATGGAATTAAGTTTATGATTGCACCCTTGCCCTCTTGGTCAGTCTTTGAATGACAAAGATGAATTTGAATGCGGTCACTTGATTTTGAATACTTAACATCCTGAATTTGGATAGCATGTCCTACTTCCCTACGGCTGTTTTGGACAAGCTCCCCCATTCTAAAGTACCCAAAAAATGCATTTGTGAACATAGCTGAGAAAAGGGTAGCTTCATAGTGTGACGGACAGACTACCAGTCTGTTGAGTATTCTGTGTAGTATATCCTTAGTAATGGGTTTGCGATTGTCTAACTGTTTCTTGAAGCGACAAAGGCCTGACCGTGTTTTCTGAACAACAAAAGACTGGGTTGTGTCGGGAATGCCTGATATTTTACAATAGTAAGAAATTGCTGCTAAATATGATCTAACTGTACTAAAGCTGTAATGACGAAGTGACAAGAATGTAATGAATTGCGAGAGTTGTTGTGTGGTCGGGGGCCAGGATATCTGATGGTTGTAAGTCATTCTAAATGCATTAAACATGTTTATCGCTGAGCTGTACAATTTTTTTTGTATTATCAGCTAAGGACTGATTTAACAGGACTTGAGATCTATGCCGTAGATCTGTTGCTGAAATGTGCGCGGGTATGTTAAGGAAGCATATAAATAATTTCTCGGGAAATTATTACTTTTTAAAAAAAATAGTTTAATAAATTACCAAAACCACTGATAAACGGACACTGTTATTTACTCTTGCATACAGATAAAAGCGTATCTACCGCAAAGACGTGCATCACCGGTATGGCATCACTTGACTTCTATTAATAGCAAAAATGTCCTTAACAAAAAGGCTTGCAGAACAACAATATCCCGGAGTTTGATAATTTCTTAGAGTATGTAATATAGCTGAAAAACATCTATTATGTCTAGAATCCCACTATCTTGTCCGTAAAATATTTATTCCACACATTCGCACGAAACCTTACACTATGTTTTGAATTTTATACATATGAATCGAGATTTTACATACAACCATGCTTAACTCGGGATTCTAGCAGCTCTTTCCAAGTTTGTCAAAACGCAAACTTTCAATCTGAACAAATGGTATGTTTAGAAACATCCAGCTTATTGTTGTTCTGTTGCAATTTTTTGGTCAATAATGACAGACGATAGGCCGACTGGGATACGTATATAGATGTCTGTCTTCGAAAGAAAATATAATCGATGAAAATAAATTCGCATTTCTGTTTAATTAATTGAACTCCAGATGAATTTAATACAATATTTCCGATATTTCCTTCTAAACTCGATTTTACATATCTTTCAACATGCCGGCGTAGCCAAATTCTCTTTACAAGACATGATCAATTTCCAAGTTACTTATGTATGTGCATATGACGTCATCGGTGGTAGATTTCAATCATAATGACTGTTACAGCATAACAAAATAAAAACATTTTATTCTTGTTAATGTTTACACGTTTCTATTCATTTTCTAGAGTTACATTACATCCCTAAATACCAATATTACGAAAAGCTGATTTCTTAAATAGATGTCATCTTGCCTACTATGACGTCATAATACAGCACTGATTTAGCCAAGGTAGAATATTTTGTTTGCTTCCTTATTCCCCCTGCGTGAGGGGTACCTCTGTTTGCTGCTTGTCGGCATCCGGAAAAGACTCTTTGAATCTTGACCATTGCTGTCGGGAAAGAGCGTCAGCTTTTACATTTTTTTACACCATCTATATGTTCCCCCTAAAGAGAATGTTATGCAACAATCCTTGTAATACTAAAGGTCTAAGTAATTGTATGATTTGCTTAGATTTTGATGTCTTGGAATTCAATATTGATACCAGGGCTTTTTGTCAATATGTAAAATGACCTTTTTTCCTTGAAATTTCTCATCCCAAATGGTAAATGCCATAACAATAGGTACTAACTCTAAAAATGTGACCTGCTTGAAAATATTTGAATGCCTCCATTTCTGTGACCACACCATGTAAGCCCAATGAGACTCAAAGATGGCCCCACACTCCAAGTCTGCATGACCATCACTATCTGTGAATAACTGAAGGTCAAAGTCTGCAGTTCAGTCGACTGTCTGATAAGAAGTCACCCCATTAAATAAATCTAGAAATAACAACAATGTGTGAATGTCTTTTTTCATCTCAGTAGAAACTCTACGTCGATGATAAGGCTTTGTCAAGCCATGAGTAGCGTCATACAGTCTACGAACAAATGCCCTACCTGATGGTATAGCCCTAACACAAAAAATTAGCAACCCTGTTAGTTTCTGTAATTCTGTGAGGGTAGCCTTCTATTTATCCAACATAGCATTTAACTCAGTCTTAAGTTGACACATTTTTTCCTTTTGGAATTTTTATTTTCATGTTAATAGTGTCAATTTCTAACCCAAGAAAAGTCAAAACTGGAGTAGGACCTATTGTTTTTTCTTGAGCTAATGACACACCTAGGTCTGAGCAAATTGAGCTAAAGCATGACATAAGATTTGCACAGTTCTGATTGCCTGCTTGTCCGGCTAACAAAAAGTCATCTAAATAATGTACGACGTAACTACTTCCAGACTTTTCCCTAAGGGCCCATTCTAGAAATGTTGATTTTTTTTTCAAATTTTGAGCAGCTTATTGCACAGCCAGAAGTAAACACATATCAATGTAAACTTTACCTTAAGGTCAGACGACACGTTCCTCAATTTTATATAACTTTTTCCAGGAATTTGTTTTTGATTTACTGTTACTTGACAAGCTTGCTTGCAAAAAATCAGGGTACATTACCAGACATTTGTGCAAGATACCAGAAGATAGAATTTCCTATATAATCCTATTGAAAATCACTTGAATTGCTGAAATTACAATTTTTGGTACACATATATATATATTTATTCTAAATTGTAAGCATTTTCAAAATAAGAATAAATAATATTCATTGAATTTGGTATATTATCAGGCTATTGAAATTTGAAAAATAATTATCATTTTTCATGAGTTTCAACCTGTCCTTGAGTTATCTCTCTTTATGAAAAAGACAAGATAGGCTGTTGTCAAAAACAATTTTTATTCACATCCCTGTTCAATATAATAAGGGAATCAAATGTCATAACATTCAAATATAAATAAATGCACATACCATAAGAAAATATGACTGATTTACAATACATGTACAATGTGTTGTATTCAAGAATTCATTTCAAATTCATAAAATACTGTTGAAGAGAAGAAATAATTCTAGAATTTGTAGTAACTCTCACTTTACCTGTTGCATGTTTGTCAGACAATACATATTTTATTCCATTTACTGCATCTCTCTGATGGGCAAGACAAAGATGCTGAAAATGCAGTCCAGATGAAGCAACTTTGTTTGCAGTGAATTTTGACAATACATTGCTGTCTACAAGATGTTGTAAAGAACATAAATTTCTGCTGGTCAAATCTGCAAAAGAGTTGTTTTCAAAAACAAACTGAGTGGTAAAACTATGTTTGAGCATCATATCAGATGAAGCTTTTACACATACCATCAGTTCTTGTAAGGTCTGAGCATCAGACAAAGCATCATGGGCATCATAATGCCTACTACATATGTCTTTAGCAAGATCTGTCTGCTTGTAGGATTTTCTACCTGGGATGAATTCCCTACATAATGGCAGCGTGTCGGTAAATCCAATAAAGAAGTCACTGGCACACAGTCCCGCGGAATGAAATAAACGCACAATGACTCTGGAATCAAACACTGCATTGTGAGCATCCAATATAATGTTTGTAAATTGCCTCATCCAATCAATAAATGACTGAAAAGCTTCCTCGGTTGTCTTACTGTGAACTTGGTGTCCATTCTTGTACATGATGTTGTCTCTGATGGTTAGTCCAGTCACGGCTGTAGCGGAAGCAGAGATCGGTTTTGTTGGTGGAGTGACATATTGGGAAAAGGTTTTATCATCAGTACAAGCTCCAATCTGTGTTACTTCACAATCTTTATCTGAAAAAGACAACATGAAATAATTATTAGAAGTCAAATGCATTTTTATCATCAATTCTTCACATCATGATTCAGGCACAATTCTTATATGGAAATGCATGTATGATGATATTTACCAAGACCTGTTGTTTCTAAGTCAAAGTATACAAATGTATGCTGCCCAGCTGCTATGGGTGTTGGGATGGGTTTGGTGAGAGGAGGGGGTATTTCTGTAATGCTGTTGTCTACATTATTGTTGATGTCGGCATCAGTTTCATATGTAATCCCCTCTTTCACTGCTGCTGATTCTTGACATTTCTTGCTCTCAGCTTTTTTCAATGCTCTTCTTTTCTTGTACTCTTCTGTATCTTCTTTGTCTTTGTCTTTTTTTCTTTTCAAGTCTGTTTTCATGGCAATTTTGCTGGTCACTTTCCCAGGTGAAAGAAACAATTTTTCATTTACCTGAAATAAAAAAGCTTCACAATCTATTTCTAATACATGTGATTATATTTCAAGCTATAATATTTCAAGTAACATTGCTAAATATAGCATTTCACAAAACAATACTGTGGTTATTATCACAACTTGATGTAGAAAGTGTATTTCAAAAGAAAATTCATAATTTCAGTGATTTCAATGAATTTATATGAAAAAGTAATGATCCTTCTAGAATAAACATTATTTTCCAATTTACCTGTAACATATACTGATGACCCAAATTTTTTTGTGCAACCGCTGCAGCTCTCTGAGTCAGAGTAGAATGTTGATTTAGGTGTCTTGCTTGCCACTGTATTATTTAAACTTTCATTGGGCTGGGTACTTCCTAAATCCACCAATCTCTCAGCCTGTGAAATGTAAAAGTCAACTATGGATGTCAGATCAACTTTCACTCCTTCGTCGGCTAGATAGCGGTGGTATGGCAACTGAAGGGGTTTGTATGTTGTCGGTGATGAAAGATACCCACACCAAGATCCACACACGCTGTGATCACCAAATACATGTTTGGATATGGCCTACAAGTTTTTCCTCATACCATCTACGTCATGTTGATTTTGGCTGACACAATATCTGAAGCACTTTGATAAGTGACTTATTGTCTTAGGATTTAGTTCCTTATAGTTTTTTACACTTTTTCAAGTCATACAATTTGTTCGTAAACTGTTTCAGTGTGTGATTTTTTGTCACTTTGTTTCTTCAAAGCTGGGTTTACCTCAGTTCTTGCCCTTGCTATGGTGGTTGTATCATTGTCCATGATGATGGTTCCAACACGAGCATCCTTTTCGCCTAGATCTTTTAGCATTTTAATGCACATGTCTGGCTCCATAGCTTTGGAACTCCCCGTCCAGTTTTTACGGCAGTCATGAGTTGATGGAGTCTTCCCTGTTTTATCTGCATGATGACATATTCTGCAGTATCCGTTGCGTGTTGCAAAATTTACTATTTTGCCGGTTTCTCTACCTATCATTGCTGCATGACCTAGAAATATAAACTTACATATGAATTTCACTGTAATATTATACACCTATTTACTGGCTATGAGGACAATAGCAAGTTTATCGTCCCCCAAGACAGCAAACTATTTCCCGAGGCGCAGCCGAGGAAAATAGTTTGCTGTCGAGAGGGACGATGAACTTGCTATTGTCCGAATAGTCAGTAAATAGGTGTTTTATTATACCGATGCTGACTTTACTTTTGTTATGTCATAATATATACGTCACAATCCATGTAAAATCAGAAGTTTGCAGAGATGAAAAGCAAGGGAAATCGAATGCTGCCGTTGAATAGTTTGAGGACTATTCACCATGGGCAAATAGCACAAAAACTATTTCACGGTAGAGACTGTTTAGAAAAAATAGCATGTTTATTCGTCTTATTTTTATATAGAAAAAATAAACAGAGGTATAATAATATAAATTATATGTATTTCCTTTGTCAAACATGTGAAAATAGACTTTGTATTATTTGAATACATTATCTCATATCTTTCAATAGGACTTACCAGATAAACTTGAAAAAGAACGCCCTGATCCCCTCTTCTGCCATCCACCATCAAATGACACCATCAACTCATCATTATTACTACAATACAAAATACATATCATCAGGATAAATCTTATTATTAGATTGAGTTCGGCTAGAGTCAACAGCCTAAAATGACATGAAATGCAATTGAACATCTCATTTTCAATGATAATTTACTTAATATTTTTATGTGTAATACTATTGGATACGGTATATCCGTTTATGTATATGCACAGTATTCAGTGTATATAGTTGTTGAAGTATTATCTGCAATTTCATTTTATGCCTTGGATTAGACATATCATAAATTATGAAATAATCCGGCATTGCTTTTATACTAATTTTAAAATACATTGCTTTTTGCAATCATGGTATAATTTATGCTGTGTACCTAGAATATTCTCTCTCTGCAGTAACCACAGAATCACAACTTTGCCTTCCAACATCTTCTACGGCTTTACCAGCTTCTCTCTCTTTACATTTTAAAGTTTTGTGAGAAAGAGGAGGAATATTCAATACACTCTACAGCATGGATACCTTTTTCTCCCCTATGCCTGCATGTAGCATTACTACAAAAACAAATACTTGTGTAAGTAATTTGACAGTAAATTACATATTTTCTTTCATCCTTTTATCAGATTATATGGTGAAAATTATACCTTTGATAGAGATCTCATACACACCTAAAGCAAGCTTTGTGTTTACATCAAATGCTCTGCTGGCATGGTCATCCAATTGTGAGTGTCTCTTTCCACTTGGAACAGAAGTCACTTTGTTGCACTTTTTACAATTTATTCGTAGTAATGAACCAAGGCCATATCTCACTTCACCACAAATATCAGTTAATTTTAAGGGATGTCTACAAAAGTTACAGCCCTCAATGAGTTTGTTCACAACATATCCTAATTCTATTACACGTCTTCCTGTGAACCATTCTATCTGTTTATCACTTTAACTACTATCATCATCAACAAAGATAAATTCAGTGTCTACTTCATCTTCTCTCTGTGCATAGTCATGCTCATCCAGATAGTATGGTACATGCAATCCTACAGGCTCGTCCACGTCGTTTGCTTCTTGTTGTGAGTGAGACACACTGACATCGTCTGTTCAAAATATATCAATATAGTAAGAAAATATGCCCAAAATGTGTGGTAAATTTATTAAATCAAATATAGCATACGTATTTCTTCAAATAGAAACGTGTATGAGGAGTGATCTAACTGGTGTGCTTGTGATACAGTCTTGTTCTGGGAAGAATCGCCAGAATACGATTCATTATTTCATATATACATATAATAAAGATTTTTTTACCTTCGTCAACTTCTTTATTTCTCTGCTTGTTTTCTTCTAAAACATTTGTCTTCCTTAGCATTTGATTGGAAATAAATTTTCCATTTCTACCGCGATTTTTTCGCGGTGTCTCCATTGTAAACAAATTACAAATTTATCTCTAATTGCAAAAGAGCGCAAAAAGGGACATAATCAAATATAATTTTTGAAACCAATTTCGGTATAAATCCGGATTGTTTTATTGGAACTCTTTATAACGAGGAGATACAAAAAAACTTACTGGAGGAACGTGTCGTCAGACCTTAAGTACATCAAGGATTACTTTAACATGATTAATTGTCATTTAAAATGCACTGTACATGGCAAGAAATAAAGAAATCACTGGTCTTCTTTCTAATTTTTTCTTATTCTCTAACTCTTTTTTTCTGTTAGGCGAAAGGTCCCACATATCATTTTATTTGACAAGGCTATGGTTTTGCAGACACATTGACAGACAGGCAGAGATAAAGAAAGACAGACAGGCAGACTGGATGCATATTTAAACAATACACACCTTCTAATCACTAATTACAGGACCTTAAAAAACAATGTGATAGTATTGTGTTGTAATAGAGTTGAGGTACATAATGCTACATGTAAAATATTAATAAATTTCTAAGTAAGATGGTGAGTTGTTTAATTTATATTTCACCTCTCATAAAAGGCATGTCAAGTAACATTTTCAGATTACAAAATATATATTGAATGGATTTAATATATCATTTGAAGATATTAAGATGCAGTTTACTTTGATGCTATGTTTTCTTATGATTTAATTCATATAGATTTTATACTTCACCTAGTTAAGAGACACAATTATAAATATCATTGGAGTGCAGATACGCATATATCGGTATATATTGTAATGATTCTAATAAATCGGTCTACTGCAAGGATATACGCCCAATGGATTCTAGTAAGTCTTTACACATAGATGTATCATTGGAAATATTCATTTATTTCAAAATAGCTGCGATCCTGGTGAAATCTAAATTTAAATATTAGCTATCTTCTTTAAGAATTCATCTTTTATCACAAAAATTAACATAGTTCTATTATGTACCTTGACTCTATTCAATACAATACACTCCACTAGATCGCATTCTATTTTTAAGCCCTTGTAATTAATGATTAGAGGGTGTATATTTTTTGTCTATTCATACTTCTATCCTTCTGTCTACCTGTCTGTTTGTCTATCTGTCTGTCTATTTGTTTGCAAAAGGTTAAGTCCTGACAATAAATTCTGATCATTAAGCTTTAGAGAGAGACAAGAGAGAGGTTGTCAAGAAAGAAATATATCCGGAATTGAAATATCATTATGAGTTGATAATTACGTCGTTGGATTGAACTCCCTACATGTATAGTTCAAGTCCGTCGGACGATACTGTATTAACAGAGCTCCTGTATCTTAGTAGGTATGCACACAAAAAATCCTCACTGCTCTATGGCTTTGAATGCCAACCATTGGTATAAATTTGCAGCCTTCCATCGGCAAGTGTTACCTCTTCATTTGAGTGAAAAAATCTTTCGAAATGTTTGCATTTAAGAAAATCAAGCCTTTTAATGTCTTTTGCCTTGTTTTATGATAAGTTTTTTGCAAATTCCGTTCCCAATGTAAATATATTTTAAACATATGGTACATGGTTTCGAAGGTAACATAACAGCAGCGAGATGACAGGAAAGCCCTGAACATTAATAATGCACACGCAATGACCCTACACTGTCAATATAGCCTAAAATCCGAAGAATATGTGTTATTATGAACTTTTTTTTCGTATCTATATATATTGTACGGATTATCTAATAGACTATATTTCTGTAATGGTTTATCATTGTGTTATGAAACTATTAAATTAATTTTTGTGTAATTTTATTGCTTGGCAATGTCAACGATTTACAAAAACACAGTTAATATCGACAATTTCATTAAAACGTTGAAATCATTTTGATTCATTGTATTGTCAGGTAACATGTATTCAAAGTTAATTAAATTAGTTTTAATGCAATATGCAAAAATATTCTAAGTTGGAGTTCTTTATTATATCAGACTTGCAATCCATCCGACTTTTAGGCTTAACTTTAAGATTTGCATTTGACATCGATTATAGCAAGATCAACCCAATTTACTGGCCTTATGAGGGAATTGCGTTTAATTCTTCCTCTTTAATTCAATAAAAATTGTAATATTTATACTTTCAACACATGTATCTTCAACATAATGAATACACAAATGAATGGAAATCTTTAGCATTAAAACGTCATAACAGAAAGGTGTCAAAAGATTAAAATATGCATTTCATCTTGATGCACAATCGTTGAACGCTGAGGAACTGCAACGTCATATAATACAAGTCATAAACTAACTAAAACACCCATAAAAGACATATCTTTGCAGGTGAATTTTCATACAACACGTCTCAGAGTACCTACCTCTAAAACTTCCACTGCCAAATTTGATCTTAAAGAAGTGAGACATTATATTTCATTTTGCTAGGCGCCAAATCCCACCAAATTTATCTTAAAACTTGTGAAAATCAAAAATATTCATTTGCCAAGAGAATATTAGAAATCTTTATCGGAAAACATTAACAAATTGATGTTGAATCTGTCCATGTCTTCCAGAAAAAAAATCTCAAAAAATCTTTATTTTTAATATTTCTTAAAATCGCAAATGTTTATGTGCCATTTTTTCTTTAAAAATATTAAGAATTATATCTAAAGTTAACAAAAACACATAGTTTATTATGCTTAACCAGATAAATTTAACAATGCAGCCTTTTGAAGACCTATACCCCCATATTTGTAATAGCAATTTGTCAATCATTCTTTGCAAAAATTTTTAGAAAAGTAAAATTTAAAAAGATGATATAGGCTTTAAAAGTATTCAAATAGATTTCAAGTTAGTTTGTTTAAATAAATTAAAAAAAGCATTAGATCCATAAAGGCAATACAGAATTTTGTGTCTATGTATGTAATAAATCACAGATAGTTCCAATATACAGAGTGCGGAGTGTTAAAATTTCCATAAATAACGATATTGAATGCTTTGTATGCTCAATGACATCATAATGAACAAATAAATACTTGCTAAATTATTTTCAATCATCCAAAAAGATTTTTTCAACAGATAATTGAAATTCAATATTTTATATTGGTGTGTAAAATGAAAACCGGATCCGTAAAAGTGTGGACCTTCCTTACAAGCTTTTTAAAGCTTTATCTATGTCTAGTAATAACCATTCCAATTACTTGCATAAGAAAATCCGCAACTAATGTAATCATTTTCATTGATTTTTCATCGTAAAAAAAAATTTAGTTGAAAATTCAAATTCAGGATAAGACTAGCCCTGAGATTCGAACAGGTATGAACGTTGTCATTAAAAAAAACTTTATATATACTTGTTCAGTTATATATGCATGTCGGAGTGCTTCAATAAAAGTGTAAATATATTTATACACATTTCATAAATTGCCAGTCAGTGATATTATTTTAATGTGAAAACATGTACAAAATTTATATACATGTATAAGAGAGACAAAAAAAAAATAGAAAGGAAGAGAGAGATAGGGAGAGAGATCTTGTGTCCATTGATTCTTTATATCAAAAGCACAATGTGATGGTCAAGCCCTGAAGATTTCCGGCAAAGATGCTCCTCGATTAAGATGAATATAGCTACGCTTTTACTTCTTTATAACACATTTAATTGTTTAGAAT